CCTTCTCTTTCTCCTTCTTTCTCTTTCTTTCTCCTTTCTCCTTCTCTCTCCTCCTCCTCCTCCTCCTCCTCCTCCTCCTCCTCCTCCCTCCTTCTCCTTCTCCACCCCACAACCCCTTCTAGCACTGAGGATATCTAGTTGGGTTGTGAAACATCTGCAAGAAAGCAAGGAAGCTCAGAGAGCCCCAAGGACCCTACAGAGCTCCTCCTGCTTAGCTTTTGTTGTCGTCATCATCACAGTTGTTATTGTTCCATTTTTGATCTGATCCCCGATAAGAACTGAAGAGTTCAAAAATGAAACCTCCTAGCATCTCCTATCATAGAAATTCCCTCAAAGACCAAATCCGTTCTTGGAGAACAGCAATAGGAACATCTGGGCCTTTTTTTTTCATTTTCTTTTTTGTGCTTTCTGTTCTGCGTCAGAGAGAAGGGGCACATTTCACAAAAATGGGGTTCCTTCTCCCAGGGCATTCTAGGAGAGATCAATGTCTATTTAAGGGAAAAGCTGAGTGGTCTCGATGTTGAGATATCAGAAAACGAGAAGACCAGGGAGATGTTTTTGGTCGGAAAGCTTTGTAGCACCTCAATGTTGGTTGGGTGTAGGGTTGCCAACGATTGAAGCAGAACGCATGCTTAGGACATGTTCCCTAGAGGGAGCCAGGACCATTCATGGTTCCTCTTCTGATTTCCTCCCAGATCTTGAAGGAAAAGCCTTTGTGTTCCCCTTGGCTTCAGAGATGACCTTCGTGAAGTTGAAGATGGACCTCCAGGAGCCTCTGACCAGTTTCACCGTGTGCCAGAGGTTCCAGACGGAAGTTGTGCGTCCATTTGCCCTCTTCTCTTACGCCACCAAGGATGACGACAACGAATTCTTGCTCCACACCGGCAAGCAGAACCTCTTGAGCGTCTTCATGAAACAAGGGATCATCAGCTTTGACATCTCCAAGATGCCCGACTCGTCGTCCTGCAAGGAGCACCTCTGTTTCACCTGGGAATCCAAGACCGGCTTGGCAGGTTTGTGGTGGAACGGGCAACCTTTACCTCGAAAAACCATCATGAAGAATCTCGTTGTCCAAGGCAACGCCTCCATCATCCTGGGACAAGAACAAGATTCCTTTGGGGGCCAGTTTGATGCCAACCAGTGCTTTGTGGGAGAGATGGAAGATGTCTACTTCTGGGACCGTGTCCTGCAACCGGATGAAATTTGCCGGGTTTGGCACAATCGGCTGGTGCCTCGTCCACTCATCAATTGGCGAGAGCTGTATTACGAAGCCCACGGAGATGTCGTGGTGGCCCCTTCCAACATCTGTGCCTGCCGAATTGAGAAGGCCTGGATCCCCAAACAGGCGTGAAAAATCAGCCAATGGCCGAACATTTGGTTCCCGCCTGAGTGACTCAGTCAAGAGGGGGACAGCAATCGGCCATCTTTAGGTTATGGAAGACACCGACTTTCTCCCACGGAAAAAACTTTCCCGTAGATAAAAGCTGCTGGTTTGCTTCATTTGTCTAGAGAATGTTTGGGCTGTGTTTTGGAAGTGCAGATGTTATGTGTGAGTTTGTTTGTGTGTGTGTCTGAGAGAAAGAGAGAGAGAGAGAGACAGACAGACATAGAGAGAGAGAGACACACACAGAGAGACAGAGAGACAGAGAGACAGAGAAGAATGGAAGGAAGGAAGATGAGAGGGAGGGAGGAAGATGGGAGGGAGAGGAAGAAAGGAAGATGGGATGGAGTGATGGAAGAAGGAAGGAAGATGAGAGAGAGGGGGGGAGGATGAGAGGGAGGCAGATGGGAGGGGGGAGGAAGAAAGGAAGATGGGATGGAGTGATGGAAGAAGGAAGCAAGATGAGAAAGAGGGGGGGAGGATGAGAGGGAGGCAGATGGGAGGGGGGAGGAAGAAAGGAAGATGGGATGGAGTGTTGGAAGAAGGGAGGAAGATGAGAAAGAGGGGGGGAGGATGAGAGGGAGGCAGATGGGAGGGGGGAGGAAGAAAGGAAGATGGGATGGAGTGTTGGAAGAAGGGAGGAAGATGAGAAAGAGTTTTGTAGGATGAGAGGGAGGCAGATGGGAGGGGGGAGGAAGAAAGGAAGATGGG